GAGAAATACAAGTAAAGCACAATGCACAGATTGAAGCTGCAAAATACATAAAAAAGAAAGCAAAATCAAATTCAATCGACCTGATACAGAAACGATGGCAACATAAACTGCTTCATGGACAATACTCTGCTCGTACCAAACAAGCTGATGTAGCCAAACCCCATACCCATCAGTGGCTACGTAGGGCAGGGTTAAAAGTTGAAACGGAAATATTTATACTTGCTGCACAGGATCAGTGCTTGTTAACTAGAATTTATCAAGCACACATGCTAAAATATAGTGTTAGCCCCAAATGAAGGTTCTGTGATAATTACCCAGAAACAATCGATCATCTTGTATCAGGTTGCACGGTATTGGCATCCACTGAATATAAAACCTTGCATGACAGAGTTGGCCAATATCTGCACCGGAAAATCTGCAACTTCTACAGAAAGGAAACTGAAAGAAATTGGTATGAACACCACCCAGGCCCGGTTACGGAGATAGGACCTGTTACAATTTTCTGGGACTACACAATACACACAGACAGAACAATCACAGCTAACCGCCCAGACATTGCTATTAGAGATTGCAAACAAAAAAGTGCTTCTTTATTGATATGGCAGTCCCTGCTGACTGCAATGTAGCTTTGAAGATCTTCAAAAAGATATCAAAATACAAGGACCTTGAAATCGAAATCTCAAAAATGTAGCACATGGGAAAATCAACATCCCCGTTGTAGTTGGAGCCTTCGGATTTTTTAGAAAAGATGGCAGTAGACTAATTGAAGGGATTCCTGGAAGCCTATGCCTTAAATAAATACAAATATTCTTCTCACGAGTACAGCCCACACCTTTCGAAGGGTTTTGTTTATGCAAATTATGTGTTTGTTTGTTTTTTCCAGTCGAAAATGTCATGATGCCATTTCTATGTTTAGGCCCCTGGGCGGGACTCGGAAAAAATGAGTACACATCAGAAATCAAAGGAAACAAAATAAAATAATAATAATAATAATAAAAGAGACCACACCTTATAAAGAGTTTTATCGCTGTAAAATATGTGTAATTTTTTTTAATTACTCAGTGGAAAATGTCATGTGCCATTTCTGACTATAGGTCTCTAGTTGGGACCCGGGAAGAAATGAGTACACACCAGAAATCAAAAGAATAATAATAATAATAATAATAATCGCCTTTATACTAACTTGTGTTCCACATGAGATCAGTCAGTCAGTTATGTGCCATGCGTGATACACGCTTAGGAGATCATGTATCTTTCGATACATGACTGATGAGGCAGATTTTTCCCGCAGTAGGTTGCCAATTCTTTTTGCGGTAGACCAGTTTACATCCAAGGCTACAGAACCCGGTCTGTCCTGCTATTTATCTATAGCTGGGAGGAGAAGAAGAGGATTCATAGTTTTCCCAAGGGTATTAGCACGTAAGTCAATGTAATGGATATAGCCAAATGTAAGTGTCCATACTTACTATAGGATGTGCTTACCTGGCTTTGACTGGCTAGTTTCCAAAATAGTTTTAAGTACACGACCCAGGAGACGAAAATCTCTATTCGGAGGTATCTAAGGTCATAACCCATCCCCTGAGGCGTCCCCAAAAGTGAAATTGCCGAGGGGGTTTGAGTAATTTTTCCCTGGCATTGCTATCATCCCCACTTTAAATTTGATCTTGTTCAAAGTAAGTAGCGACACATATATCAACAACTATCACTCAGTCATTGTAAGATATATCGCTTATTTTGTAAATATTCCATATACTTTAATTTCGAAAACTTGGTAAAAATAATTGTTTCTACATAGTAAATATCAATTTAATTGACACCTCGCTTATTACAAATTATCTATGCCGTCAATAAGTTTATTATAGGCCATTTTATTATCTCTTTATTTGCACGACTAAACGGCCGTTTCACTTAAACATCAGAACTGATAATAACTTATTTCCAGCTGAAGAAATTGTTGAATGCTTCATTGGCTGATCATTTAGTATAATTTAATTTGTTTGAAATTGGAAATAAATCATTATTTTCATAGGTTATTATATTTACCTATACACACACACACACACACATATATATATATATATATATATATATATATATATATATGTGTGTGTGTGTGAAAAATGTATATAAATATAAATAAATATATATATGTATAATTATTTATATATTATATATGTGGGTACTTATTAGAAAGCGTGAAACCCAGGTCACAAACTCACATCTATCCAACCAAATATATATATATATATATATATATATATATATATATATATATATATATATATATATATATATATATATATATATATATAATTCAGTTATTCTCTCTATTTCAGTCCGTACGAAGCCAACGAACTAACTAGTTAGCTCTTTAGCTAGCTCAATTTGAACCTTATCTATCGAGTTCAATGTGAACATTATATAAATCTATCTAGTTGGCTAGCTAGCTAGCAAGCTAGCTCAATTGGAACGTGATCTAACTAGTTATCAAGCTGAATGTGAACATTATCATCGACGTAGCTAGCTACCTAGCTAGTTCAATGGGAACATTATCTAACTAGCTATGTAGCTGAATGTGAACATCTATTTCAATGTGAACATTATCTATCTAGCGAACTATCGCATTCTCTTCACTACGTTTCTATTTCAGTCCGTTCGTAGCTTTCTCACTATCTAGTTCAATGTGAATTCTATCTATCTATCTATCTATCTATCTATCTATCTATCTATCTATCTATCTATCTATCTATCTATCTATCCCGCTCAATCTGAACATTATCTATATCTATTTATATATCTATCTAGCAAGGAAGATAGCTAGCTAGCTGTCTCAACGTGAACATCTATCTATCTATCTATCTATCTATCTATCTATCTATCTATCTATCTATCTATCTATCTATCTATCTATCTCCTCCACTGTGACATGCCTTTACACAGCGTGGGCGATTATATCATTCGAATTTCTCCAATTTCTCCTCTTTTGTTGATGAATCCTTATGTGTGTGTGTGTGTGTTTTATTTTCGTATATTGTTAAATGGGCATCATTAAAATTAATCAACTCGGAGGTTTTAAATGATATAATTTTAATTAGGGCATTTTTTCCCAAGCGTTTACATGTTAGCTTGCAATGAGCTATTTCCTTGACTCATGTAAATATGATAAAAAGCTTATTTTTGATTTTATTAATTGCTAGATTCTCTCTTGTTCTAATAGCTTGCAATTAAATTGTGATTTCTCTTCTATGTTTTGCATTTATAGTTTGTTTTAGTTCATGTAAATATGTGTTAAAGAAAACACCCGTGACCAGATAAAATGCATATTATATCAGACGATTCTAGATGCAGTTTGGACTTCAATCATTGAACATTCTCAATAATGATGCATCAAGTATTCAATACTTTTTAATGTCCCTACAAGACGGAGGCGATGTTGAAGATCCACGGATATTTTTCATAAATAACAGTGAATTGTCATGACTTCTTCAGATAGACAGTGAAACAGTTTCCCGTAGCCTTCTCCTCGGATTATAATTATTTCAGACGGATTACTTAATAGCGCATATATTTAATCCATAAAAAGCCGTATTCATCTTCTTCTAAAAGCGTTATCCTTTCTGAACTTTGGAGACGATTACGCTCTATATTTTCCTAGTAGCTCTTAATAAATGTTGATTTGTTAACTCTCCTAAACTTTTTTCTGTTATCCATTAACTCAAGTTCGTTATGCCGTGTTTTCCTCTCTCCATTCAGTCTGTCTTGTGAGTGTCATATTTTCCAATCCCTCTTTCCTCATTACTATAGTACTCTAGATTTCAACAGTATCTTCCTATATGATGTGGGCCCAAAGTCGAGACCGCGGAAGTAAAACACGAAACACGGATTAGAGGTAAGAAAGATATATTAAACAAAAAGGTTACAAAGATAGTGTAAGTGTAAGCGGAGCTTACTATGTGCTAGTGTCCAATATTGGTAGTCGTACGCGGCTGATACTACGGTATTAGAATACTCTCTCTCCTCCTCCTCTTCTTCCCTCTCGAGTGTTATGTCGCATACTTTATATAGTCCTGGAAGAGTCCATGTTTTATGTATGTTACGGTCTCACAATAGTACAAGTGTTCTTTTTGTTTCTATTTTCTCTAAAACGTCGCCGCTGCTTACATATTCGGTCCATGGTATTCTCAGCATCTTTCTGTAGAACCACATCTCTGTTACTTGTTCAACTGACAGGAGATCGTCCAGCACTTACTACCATAGATGAGGACAGGTATCACGTAAGAAGTTTAGTACGCTTTTCGCTCTTTTTTTAGCGAAATTTTTCTATTTCTTCGTACTTTGCTTAGTTTTTCGAATGCTTCCTTTTCTATCCCAATACGCCTTCGGATCTCAGTGTCGTTCTTTCCGTCCTCTGTTAAAACTCGCTGCTTACATGTTTGATCCATAGCATTGTAAGCACCCTTCTATAGAACCATATTTCTGTTGCTGCAAGTGTCTTCTTCATCTGTGGGGAGATTATGAATTATCCCCTGCCATATACAGGAGGACCGACATTGCGTAACAGCTCAGCAGTTTTCTCAAATTTGATCTCGACTTTTCGATACTATTTTCAGTATCCACATCCATTACAGTCACCGCATATCCACATTCTTATATCCGCATATTTTATATTCAATAATACACAACAAAAAAGATGACAAATTAAAATAATAAAATTTTAAGCGAAGTCGAAAAATCTGTTATATGTTGAAAGTAGATGAAATTAAATAAATGTATGACTGCTTAAAAAGTGAGGTTGCGCATCCAAATATCCGTTTCAAGCAACACTGAATAATATGTCCTCTCATAACATTGTTTCACGTTGTCTATAGAAAGTTTTACTTGCTCATCTACAACGGACAATACAAAGCTTAAGTGAATTATTAGCCGTTGGCAGATTTCTGTTATTCTAATCGTTTTCCAATTGTAAATGATTAGAAAACAGGGTTACGACATCATGAATGATGTCCTGTCGGTTACGACTTCCGAATACACCGACAGCACCTGTGGAAAGGGGTAAAACCGACCCCTCCCCCCCCAATGAGGTCGTTCTAGATATGACAATAAAGTACATCCTGCAGCAAGCCTCTGATCAGGATGTTTTCAGGCGTGTGTACCTACCTCTTAATTGCTGGTGTTCTCGGACCCACCCGACCCGGGGCGGTAGCACCTTTACGGATCACAGCTATTACCAAATAGTTAACCCTCAAAGTGAGGTCAAAACAATATGAAAGTGTAAAAATAGATTTTAATACGGGGAATAGATTTTTGGAAAAGAATTCCAGCAATACATTTTTGGAAAAAAAATTACTAGCAATAAGTTTTTGTAAAAAAAAAATATATATATATCAGCAATATAGTTTTTGTAAAAAAAATATTACCATCAATACATTTTTGAAAAAAAATATACCGGCAATACATTTTTGTAAAAAGAATTATCAACAATACATTTTTGGAAAAAAGAATTACCAGCAATACATTTTTGGAAAAAGTATCAGAAATACATTTTTTGAAAAAATATTATCAGCAATACATTTTTGGAAAAAATATCAATAATACATTTTTGGAAAAAATATTATCACCAATACATTTTTGGAAAAAAAATTACCAGCAATATATTTTTGGAAAAAAATATATTACTGGCAATATATTTTTGAAAAAAAATTACCAGCAATAACAATCATTTCGGTATTAAGTAACAAATTGTAATTGATATACCGTATCAAAAAAAAAAATAACAACAATACATATTTTGGAAACAAATAACAATACATTTCTGGAAAAAAAAAATATTACCAGCAATAACAATCTTATCGGTATTAAATAACAAATTGAAGTCGATATACCGTAAAAAAACAAAGGAAACCAAAGCAAACCAAATTATGAATGTTTAGTCAGTGAAATTCAAGTAAATGCTAAAGTTTTAACAGAAAAATTTCCAGCAACTCTTCTTGGTGATAAACTTGAAAAAGTGAAAATAGGTTCATGACTTTCAAAATTCTTTGTTCGTTTTTGAATAGATTCATTTTATAAAGATCATTTCGTTCATGAAAAGTTTTAGCCGAAAAGAAATCGATGTTTTCTTTGGTTGCAAAATTGTCCTTAGAGAAACATCAGTACAGTCTCTCCCCTCAGAATGTAGGCAATCATGGCTTTCCACAACATTCTGTCCCTTGTTAGCTCTTAAACATTGTCTTTCCATTATTACTCATAAACACAGTTCCGACATGCATTTACTCAAGCTTACCAAGTATGCGTTGCTTTCCTCTGTTCCTCTTGCCCTCTCTCTGTCCCGTAGGTATCATTTTATGTCCTAGAAACCACCCGTTGCTTTCCTCTGTTCCTCTTTCCTCTATCTGACCCTGTAAAGTATCATTTTATGTCCTAGAAACCAGCCGTTGCTTTCCTCTGTTCCTCTTGCCCTCTATCTGTCCCGTAGGTATCATTTTATGTCCTAGAAACCACCCGTTGCTTTCCTCTGTTACTCTTGCCCTCTCTCTGTCCCGTAGGTATCATTTTATGTCCTAGAAACCACCCGTTGCTTTCCTCTGTTCCTCTTGCCCTCTATCTGTCCCGTAGGTATCATTTTATGTCCTAGAAACCACCGTTGCTTTCCTCTTTTCCTCTTGCCCTCTATATGTCCCGTAGGTATCATTTTATGTCCGAGAAATCACCCATTGCTTTCCTCTGTTCCTCTTGCCCTCTCTCTGTCCCGTAGGTATCATTTTATGTCCTAGAAACCAGCCGTTGCTTTCCTCTGTTCCTCTTGCCCTCTATCTGTCCCGTAGGTATCATTTTATGACCTAGAAACTACCCGTTGCTTTCCTCTGTACCTCTGGCCCACTCTCTGTCCAGTAGGTATCATTTTATGTCCTAGAAACCAGCCGTTGCTTTCCTCTGTTCCTCTTGCCCTCTATTTGTCCCGTAGGTATCATTTTCTGTCCTAGAAGCCAACCGTTACTTTCCTCCGTTGCTCTTGCCCTCTATCTGTCCCGTAGGTATCATTTTATGTCCTAGAAACCACCCGTTACTTTCCTCTGTTCCTCTTGCCCTCTCTCTGTCCCGTAGGTATCATTTTATGTCCTAGAAACCACCCGTTGCTTTCCTCTGTTCTTCTTGCCCTCTCTCTGTCCCGTAGGTATCATTTTATGTCCTAGAAACCACCCGTTGATTTCCTCTGTTCATCTTGAACTCTATCTGTCCCGTAGGTATCATTCTATGTCCTAGAAACCACCCGTTGCTTTCCTCTGTTCATCTTGCCCTCTATCTGTCCCGTAGGTATCATTTTATGTCCTAGAAGGCAATCGTTAATTTCCTCTGTTGCTCTTGCCCTCTATCTGTCCCGTAGGTATCATTTTATGTCCTAGAAACCACCCGTTGCTTTCCTCTGTTCCTCTTGCCCTCTATCTGTCCCGTAGGTATCATTTTATGTTCTAGAAACCACCCGTTGCTTTCCTCTGTTCCACTTGCCCTCTATCTGTCCCGTAGGTATCATTTTATGTCCTAGAAACCACCGTTGCATTCCTCTTGTCCTCTTGCCCTCTATATGTCCCGTAGGTAACATTTTATGTCCTAGAAATCACCCATTGCTTTCCTCTGTTCCTCTTGCCCTCTCTCTGTCCCGTAGGTATCATTTTATGTCCTAGAAACCAGCCGTTGCTTTCCTCTGTTCCTTTGCCTCTATCTGTCCTGTAGGTATCATTTTATGTTCTAGAAACCAGCCGTTGCTTTCCCTCTGTTCCTATCTTGCCTCTATCTGTCCTAGTAGGTATCATTTTATGTCCTAGTAAACCACCCATTGCTTTCTCTGTTCCTCTTGCCCTCTATCTGTCCCGTAGGTATCATTTTATGTCCTAGAAATCACCCATTGCTTTTCTGTTCCTCTTGCCCACTGTCCTGTAGGTATCATTTTATGTCCTAGAAACCACCCGTTGATTTCCCTCTATGTCCTCTCCTAGAAACCCCCGTTGCTTTCCCTGGTATCCTTCATGTCCTAGAAACCACCTGTTATCTGTTCCCTCTATCTGTCCTGTAGGTATCATTTTATGTCCTAGAAACCACCCGTTGCTTTCCTCTGTTCCTCTTGCCCTCTCTCTGTCCCGTAGGTATCATTTTATGTCCTAGAAACCACCCGTTGATTTCCTCTGTTCATCTTGAACTCTATCTGTCCCGTAGGTATCATTTTATGTCCTAGAAACCACCCGTTGCTTTCCTCTGTTCCTCTTGCCCTCTATCTGTCCCGTAGGTATCATTTTATGTCCTAGAAGGCAATCGTTAATTTCCTCTGTTGCTCTTGCCCTCTATCTGTCCCGTAGGTATCATTTTATGTCCTAGAAACCACCCGTTGCTTTCCTCTGTTCTCTTGCACCCTATCTGTCCTGTAGGTATCATTTTTATGTCCTAGAAATCACCCATTGCTTTCCTCTGTTCCTCTTGCCCTCTCTCTGTCCCGTAGGTATCATTTTATGTCCTAGAAACCACCCGTTGATTTCCTCTGTACATCTTGAACTCTATCTGTCCCGTAGGTATCCTTCTATGTCCTAGAAACCACCCGTTGCTTTCCTCTGTTCATCTTGCCCTCTATCTGTCCCGTAGGTATCATTTTATGTCCTAGAAACCACCCGTTGCTTTCCTCTGTTCCTCTTGCCCTCTCTCTGTCCCGTAGGTATCATTTTATGTCCTAGAAACCACCCGTTGATTTCCTCTGTTCATCTTGAACTCTATCTGTCCCGTAGGTATCATTCTATGTCCTAGAAACCACCCGTTGCTTTCCTCTGTTCATCCTGCCCTCTATCTGTCCCGTAGGTATCATTTTATGTCCTAGAAGGCAATCGTTAATTTCCTCTGTTGCTCTTGCCCTCTATCTGTCCCGTAGGTATCATTTTATGTCCTAGAAACCACCCGTTGCTTTCCTCTGTTCCTCTTGCCCTCTATCTGTCCCGTAGGTATCATTTTATGTTCTAGAAACCACCCGTTGCTTTCCTCTGTTCCACTTGCCCTCTATCTGTCCCGTAGGTATCATTTTATGTCCTAGAAACCACCGTTGCATTCCTCTTGTCCTCTTGCCCTCTATATGTCCCGTAGGTAACATTTTATGTCCTAGAAATCACCCATTGCTTTCCTCTGTTCCTCTTGCCCTCTCTCTGTCCCGTAGGTATCATTTTATGTCCTAGAAACCAGCCGTTGCTTTCCTCTGTTGCTCTTGCCCTCTCTCTGTCCCGTAGGTATCATTTTATGTTCTAGAAACCAACCGTTGCTTTCCTCTGTTCCTCTTGCCCTCTATATGTCCCGTAGGTATCATTTTATGTCCTAGAAACCAGCCGTTGCTTTCCTCTGTTCCTCTTGCCCTCTCTCTGTCCCGTAGGTATCATTTTATGTCCTAGAAACCACCCGTTGCTTTCCTCTGTTCCTCTTTCCCTCTATCTGACCCGTAAGTATCATTTTATGTCCTAGAAACCAGCCGTTGCTTTCCTCTGTTCCTCTTGCCCTCTATCTGTCCCGTAGGTATCATTTTATGTCCTAGAAACCACCCGTTGCTTTCCTCTGTTACTCTTGCCCTCTCTCTGTCCCGTAGGTATCATTTTATGTCTAGAAAACCCGTTGTTTTCCTCTGTTCCTCTTGCCCTCTATATCTGTCCTGTAGGTATCATTTTTATGTCCTAGAAACCACTGTTGCTCCTTTTTTCCTCTTGCCCTCTATATGTCCTGTAGGTATCATTTTATGTCCGGGAGAAATCACCCATTGCTTTCCTCTGTTCCTCTTGTTTCTCTCTGTCCTGTAGGTATCATTTTATGTCCTAGAAACCAGCCGTTGCTTTCTCTCTGTTCCTCTTGCCCTCTATCTGTCCTGTAGGTATCATTTTATGACCTAGAAACTACCTGTTGCTTTCCTCTGTACCTCTTGCCCTCTCTCTGTCCAGTAGGTATCATTTTATGTCCTAGAAACCAGCCGTTGCTTTCCTCTGTTCCTCTTGCCCTCTATTTGTCTCGTAGGTATCATTTTCTGTCCTAGAAGCCAACCGTTACTTTCCTCCGTTGCTCTTGCCCTCTATCTGTCCCGTAGGTATCATTTTATGTTCTAGAAACCACCCGTTCCTTTCCTCTGTTCCTCTTGCCCTCTCTCTGTCCCGTAGGTATCATTTTATGTCCTAGAAACCACCTGTTGCTTTCTCTCTGTTCTTCTTGCCTCTCTCTGTCCTGTAGGTATCGTTTTATGTCCTAGAAACCACCGTTGATTTCCTCTGTTCATCTTGAACTCCATCTGTCCTGTAGGTATAATTCTATGTCCTAGAAACCACCTGTTGCTTTCCTCTGTTCATCTTGTTCTCTATCTGTCCCGTAGGTATCATTTATGTCCTAGAAGGCAATCGTTAATTTCCTCTGTTGCTCTTGCCCTCTATCTGTCCCTAGGTATCATTTTATGTCTAGAAACCACCCATTGCTTTCCTCTGTTCCTCTTGCCCTCTATCTGTCCTGTAGGTATCATTTTATGTTCTAGAAAACCACCCGTTGCTTTCCTCTGTTCCACTTGCCCCATCTGTCCTGTAGGTATCATTTATGTCCTAGAAACCACCGTTGCTTTCCTCTTGTCCTCTTGCCCTCTATATGTCCCGTAGGTATCATTTTATGTCCTAGAAATCACCCATTGCTTTCCTCTGTTCCTCTTGCCCTCTCTCTGTCCCGTAGGTATCATTTTATGTCCTAGAAACCAGCCGTTGCTTTCCTCTGTTCCTCTTGCCCTCTATCTGTCCCGTAGGTATCATTTTATGTTCTAGAAACCAGCCGTTGCTTTCCTCTGTTCCACTTGCCCTCTATCTGTGCCGTAGGTATCATTTTATGTCCTAGTAACCACCGTTGCTTTCCTCTGTTCCTCTTGCCCTCTATATGTCCCGTAGGTATCATTTTATGTCCTAGAAATCACCCATTGCTTTCCTCTGTTCCTCTTGCCCTCTCTCTGTCCCGTAGGTATCATTTTATGTCCTAGAAACCACCCGTTGATTTCCTCTGTACATCTTGAACTCTATCTGTCCCGTAGGTATCCTTCTATGTCCTAGAAACCACCCGTTGCTTTCCTCTGTTCATCTTGCCCTCTATCTGTCCCGTAGGTATCATTTTATGTCCTAGAAACCACCCGTTGCTTTCCTCTGTTCCTCTTGCCCTCTCTCTGTCCCGTAGGTATCATTTTATGTCCTAGAAACCACCCGTTGATTTCCTCTGTTCATCTTGAACTCTATCTGTCCCGTAGGTATCATTTATGTCCTAGAAAAACCACCTGTTGCTTTCCTCTGTTCCTCTTGCCTCTATCTGTCCCAGTAGGTATCATTTTATGTCCTAGAAGGCAATCGTTAATTTCCTCTGTTGTTGCTCTTGCCCTCTATCTGTCCCGTAGGTATCATTTTATGTCCTAAAAAACCCATTGTTTTCCTCTGTTTCTCTTGCCCTCTATCTGTCCCGTAGGTATCATTTTATGTCCTAGAAATCACCCATTGTTTTCCTCTGTTCCTCTTGCCCTCTCTCTGTCCCGTAGGTATCATTTTATGTCCTAGAAACCACCCGTTGATTTCCTCTGTACATCTTGAACTCTATCTGTCCCGTAGGTATCATTTTATGTCCTAGAAACCACCTGTTGCTTTCTCTGTTCATCTTGAACTCTATCTGTCCTGTAGGTATCATTTTATGTCCTAGAAACCACCTGTTGCTTTCCTCTGTTCATCTTGCCTCTCTCTCTGTCCTGTAGGTATCATTTTATGTCCAGAAACCACCTGTTGCTTTCTCTGTTCATCTTGAACTCTATCTGTCCCTGTAGGTATCATTTTATGTCCTAGAAACCACCCGTTGCTTTCCTCTGTTCATCCTGCCCTCTATCTGTCCTGTAGGTATCATTTTGTCCTAGAAGGCACCGTTAATTTCTCTGTTCTTTGCCTCTCTATCTGTCCTGTAGGTGCCTATTTTTATGTCCCAGAAACCACCTGTTGCTTTCTCTGTTCCTCTTTCCCTCTATCTGTCTAAAACCAGGTATCATTTTATGTTCTAGAAACCACTGTCCATTAGGTTTCCTCTGTTCCACTTGCCCTCTCTCTCTATGTCCTGTAGGTATCATTTTATGTCCTAGAAACCACCGTTCCTCTATTCCTCTTGTCCTCTTGCTGTCCTCTATATGTCCTGTCCTCTGGTAACATTTTTATGTCCTAGAAATCACCCATTGCTTTCCTCTGTTCCTCTTGCCTCTCTCTGTCCTGTAGGTATCATTTTATGTCCTAGAAAACCAGCGTTCATTTTATTTTCCTCTGTTGCTCTTGCCTCTCTCTGTCCTGTAGGTATCATTTTATGTTCTAGAAACCAACCCGTTGCTTTCCTCTGTTCCTCTTGCCCTCTATATGTCCCGTAGGTATCATTTTATGTCCTAGAAACCAGCCGTTGCTTTCCTCTGTTCCTCTTGCCCTCTATATGTCCCGTAAGTATCATTTTATGTCCTCGAAACTACCCGTCGCTTTCCTCTGTTCCTCTTGCCCTCTCTCTGTCTCGTAGGTATCATTTTATGTCCTAGAAACCACCCGTTGCTTTCCTCTATTCCTCTTGCCCTCTCTCTGTCCCGTAGGTATCATTTTATGTCCCTAGAAACCACCGTTGATTTCCTCTGTTTATCTTCTGTCCTCTCTCTGTACCGTAGGTATCATTTATGTCTTAGAAACCACCTGTTGCTTTCCTCTGTTCCTCTTGCCTCTATCTGTCCTGTAGGTATCATTTTATGTCCTAGAAACCACCCGTTGATTTCTCTATTCCTCTTGCCTCCTATCTGTCCTGTAGGTATCATTTTATGTCTTAGAAACCACCTTTTGTTTTCCTCTTTTCCTCTTGCCATCTGTCCCTGTAGGTATCATTTTATGCCTAGAAACCACCCGTTGCTTTCCTCTGTTCCTCTTGCCCTATATGTCCTGTAGGTATCATTTATGTTCTAGAAACTACCTGTTGCTTCCCTCTGTTCCTCTGGGCCTATTCTCTGTCCAGTAGGTATCATTTATGTCCTAGAAACCAGCTGTTGCTTTCCTCTGTTCCTCTTTGCCCCTCTATTTGTCCTGTAGGTATCATTTTATGTCCTAGAAACCAGCCGTTACTTTCCTCCGTTGCTCTTGCCCTCTATCTCTGTCCATAGTAGGTATCATTTTTATGTCCTAGAAACCACCCGTTGCTTTTCTCTCTGTTCCTCTTGCCCTCTATCTGTCCTGTAGGTATCATTTTATGTTCTAGAAAACCACCGTTGCTTCTCCTGTTCCACTCCTCCTATCTGTCCCAGGTATCATTTTATGTCCTAGAAACCACCTGTTGCTTTCTCCTCTGCCCTCTGCACCTCTACATGTCCTGTAGGTATCATTTTATGTCCTAGAAATCACCCATTGCTTTCCTCTGTTCCCTCTTGCCCTCTATCTGTCCTGTAGGTATCATTTTTATGTCCTAGAAACCACCGTTGCTTTCCTCTGTTCCTCTTGCCTCTATCTGTCTGTAGGTATCATTTTTATGTCCTAGAAACCACCCATTGCTTTCTCTGTTCCTCTTGCCCTCTATCTGTCCCTGTAGGTCATTTTATGTCCTAGAAACCACCTGTTGCTTTCCTCTGTTCCTCTTGCCTCTCTATGTCCTGCAGGTATCATTTATGTCCTAGAAATCACCCATTGCTTTCTCCGTTCCTCTTGCCCTCTCTCTGTCCTGTAGGTATCATTTTATGTCCTAGAAACCAGCCATTGCTTTCTCCTGTTCCTCTTGCCCTCTTTCTGTCCCGTAGGTATCATTTATGTCCTAGAAACCACCTGTTGCTTTCCTCTGTTCCTCTTGCCCTCTCTGTCCTGTAGGTATCATTTTATGTCCCAGAAACCACCGTTGCTTTCCTCTATTTCTCTTGCCCTATCTGTCCCTGTAGGTATCATTTTATGTCTAGAAACCACCTGTTGATTTCCTCTGTTTATCTTGCCTCTATCTGTCCTGTAGGTATCATTCTATGTCCCTAGGAAACCACCTGTTGCTTTCCTCTGTTTCCTCCTGCCCTATATCTGTCCTGTAGGTATTATTTTATGTCCTAGAAACCACCCGTTGATTTCCTCTGTTCCACTTGCCCCATCTGTCCTGTAGGTATCATTTTTATGTCCTAGAAACCAGCTGTTGCTTTCTCTGTTCCTCTTGCCCTCTATCTGTCCCATAGGTATGTTTTATGTCCTAGAAACCAGCCGTTGCTTTCCTCTGTTCCTCTTGCCTCTATTTTTGTCCTGTAGGTATCATTTTCTGTCCTAGAAGCCAACTGTTCTTTCCTCCTCCGTTGCTCTTGCCCTATCTATCTGTCCAGTAGGTATCATTTTATGTCCTAGAAACCACCGTTCCTTTCCTCTGTTCCTCTTGCCCTGTCCTGTCATGGTATCATTTTATGTCCTAAAACCACCCTGTTTTTCATCTATTCCTCTTCTCCTCTCTGTCCTGTAGGTATCATTTTATGTCCTAGAAACCACTGTTGATTTTCCTCTGTTTATCTTGCCTCTATCTGTCCTGTAGGTATCATTTATGTTCTAGAAACCACCTGTTGCTTTCCTCTGTTCATCTTGCCTCTATCTGTCCCTGTGGGTATCATTTATGTTCTAAAAACCACCTGTTGCTTTCCTCTGTTCCTCTTGCCCCTCTATCTGTCCTGTAGGTATTATTTTATGTCCCTAGAAACCACCTTTGCTTTCCTCTTTTCCTCTTGAACTCTATCTGTCCCGTAGGTATCATTTATGTCCTAGAAACCACCCTTTGCTTTCCTCTGTTCCTCTTTACCCCTCTATCTGTCCCGTAGGTATCATTTTATGTCCCTAGAAACCAATCATTTGCTTTCCTCTGTTCCTCTTGCCCTCTATCTGTCCTGGTAGGTATCATTTTTATGTCCTAGAAACCACCTTTGCTTCCTCTGTTCCTCTTGCCCTATCTGTCCAGTAGGTATCATTTTATGTCCTAGAAACCATTGATTGCTTTTCCTCTGTTCCTCTTTGCCCTCTCTGTCCCTGTAGGTATCATTTTATGTCCTAAAACCACTGTTGCTTTCCTCTGTTCCTCTTGCCCCTCTATCTGTCCCGTAGGTATCATTTTATGTCCTAGAAATCACCCATTCCTTTCCTCTATTCCTCTTGCCCTCTCTCTCTGTCCCGTAGGTATCATTTTATGTCCTAGAAACCACCAGTTGCTTCCCCTCTGTTGCTCTTGAACTCTATCTGTCCTGTAGGTATCATTTTATGTTCTAGAAACCAACCGTTGCTTTCCTCTGTTCCTCTTGCCCTATCTGTCCATGTAGGTATCATTTTATGTCCTAAAACCACTGTTGCTTTCCCTCTGTTCCTCTTGCCCTCTATATGTCCTGTAGGTATCATTTATGTCCTAGAAATCACCCATTACTTTTCCTCTATTCCTCTTGCCCTCTCTCTGTCCCGTAGGTATCATTTTTATGTCCCAAAAACCACCTGTTGCTTTCCTCTGTTCCTCTTGCCCTCTATATGTCCTGTAGGTATCATTTTATGTCCCAGAAACCACCTGTTGCTTTCCTCTGTTCCTTGCCCTCTCCCCTGTCCGTAGGAAAAAACCTGTTGCTTTCTCTGTTCTCTTGCCCTCTATCTGTCCCGTAGGTATCATTTTATGTCCTAGAACCCCAAACGTTGATTTCCTCTGTTTTATCTTGAACTTCTATCTGTCCCATAAGTATCATTTATGTCCTAGAAAACCACCGTTGATTTCCTCTGTTCTCTTGCCCTCTATCTGTCCTGTAGGTATCATTTTTATGTCCTGAAACCACCTTTGCTTTCCTCTTTCCTCTTGCCTCTATATGTCCCTGTAGGTATCATTTTATGTCCTAGAAATCACCCATTGCTTCCCTCTGTTCCTCTTGCCCCTCTCTGTCCTGTAGGTATATTTTTATGTCCTAGAAAACCAGCTGTTGCTTTCCTCTGTTCCTCTTGCCCTCTATCTGTCCCTAAAGCCAGGTATCCTTTTATGTCCTAGAAATTTGTCTAAAACCGTTGCTTTCCCTCTGTTCTCTTGCCCTCTATCTGTCCTGTAGGTATCATTTTATGTCTAGAAACCACCCGTTGCTTTCCTCTATTCCTTTGCCCCCTCTATCTGTCCTTGCAGGTATCATTTTTGTCCAGAAACCACCATTGATTTCCTCCTGTTCATCTTGAACTCTATCTGTCCTGTAGGTATCATTCTATGTCCTAGAAACCACCCGTTGCTTTTCCTCTGTTCTCTTCCCCCTCTATCTGTCCCATAGGCCTCATTTTATGTCCTAGAAGGCACCCGTTCTTTCCTCTGTTCCTCGCCTCTCTCTCTGTCAGTAGGTATCATTTTATGTCCTAGAAACCACCTGTTGCTTTCCTCTTCCTCTTGCCCTCTATCTGTCCTGTAGGTATCATTTTATGTCTTAGAAACCACCGTTGCTTTCCTCTGTTCCTCTTGCCCTCTCTCTGTCCTGTAGGTATCATTTTATGTCCTAGAAACCACCGTTGCTTTCCTCTGTTCCTCTTGCCCCTCCTCTCTGTCCCATAGGTATCATTTTTATGTCCTAAAACCACCGTTGCTTTCCTCTGTTCTTCTTGCCCTCTCTCTGTCCTGTAGGTATCATTTTATATCTAAAACCACCTGTTGATTTCCTCTGTTCATCTTGAACTCTATCTGTCCTGTAGGTATTATCATTCTGTTCCTAGAAACCAACCGTTGCTTTTCCTCTGTTTGCCCCTCTATCTGTCCTGTAGGTATCATTTTATGTCCTAGAAACCACCCCGTTACTTTTCCTCTGTTGCTCTTGCCCTCCTATCTGTCCGTAGGTATCATTTTATGTCCTAGAAACCACCCGTTGCTTTCCTCTGTTCCTCCCCCTCTATCTGTCCCGTAGGTATCATTTTATGTCCTAGAAACCACCCGTTGCTTTCCTCTGTTCCTCTTGCCCTCTATCTGTCCCGTAGGTATCATTTTATGTCCTAGAAATCACCCATTGCTTTCCTCTGTTCCTCTTGCCCTCTCTCTGTCCCGTAGGTATCATTTTATGTCCTAGAAACCAGCCATTGCTTTCCCTCTGTTCCTCTTACCCTCTATCTGTCCTGTAGGTATCATTTTATGTTCTAGAAACCACCGTTGCTTTCCTCTAATTTCCCTTGCCTTCATCTGTCCCGTAGGTATCATTTTGTCCTAGAAACCACCGTTCTTTCCTCTTTTCCTCTTGCCCCTCTATCATGTCCTGTAGGTATCATTTTATGTCCTAGAAACCACCCCTTTGCTTTCCTCTGTTCCTCTTGCCCTCTATATGTCCTGTAAGTATCATTTTTATGTCCTCAGAAACTACCTGTTCTTTCCTCTGTTCCTCTTGCCCATTCTCTGTCCAGTAGGTATCATTTTATGTCCTAGAAAACCTGTTGCTTTCCTCTATTCCTCTGTGCCCTCTCTCTGTCTGTCCGTAGGTATCATTTTATGTCCTAGAAACCACCTGTTGCTTTCCTCTGTTTATCTTGAACTCTCTCTGTCCAGTAGGTATCATTTTTATGTCCCAGAAACCACCGTTGCTTTCCTCTTTTCCTCTTGCCCTCTATTTGTCCCGTAGGTATCATTTTATGTTCTAGAAACCACCGTTGATTTCCTCCGTTCCCTCTTGCCTCTCTGTCCATGTAGGTATCATTTTATGTACAAAACCAAACCGTTTTGCTTTCCTCTGTTCCTCTTGCCTCTCTATATGTCCCGTAGGTATCATTTTTATGTCCTAGAAACCAACCATTAATTTCCTCTGTTCCTCTTGCCCTCATCTGTCCCTGCAGGGTATCATTTTATGTCCTAAAACCACCCGTTGCTTTCCTCTATTTTCCTCTTGCCCTCTATATGTCCCGTAGGTATCATTTTATGTCCTAGAAACCACCCGTTGCTTTCCTCTGTTCCTCTTGCCCTCTCTCTGTCCCGTAGGTATCATTTTATGTCCTAGAAACCACCCGTTGATTTCCTCTGTTTATCTTGAACTCTATCTGTCCCGTAGGTATCATTTTATGTCCTAGAAACCACCCGTTGCTTTCCTCTGTTCCTCTTGCCCTCTATCTGTCCCGTAGGTATCATTTTATGTCCTAGAAACCACCCGTTGCTTTCCTCTGTTCCTCTTGCCCTCTCTCTGTCCCGTAGGTATCATTTTATGTCCTAGAAACAGCTGTTGCTTTCCTATTTCCTCTTACCCCTCTATCTGTCCTGTAGGTATCATTTTATGTTCTAGAAACCAGCCGTTGCTTCCTCTGTTCCTCTTGCCTCTATTTGTCCTGTAGGTATCATTTTTATGTCCCTAAAACCACCGTTACTTTCCTCTGTTCCTCTTACCCTCTATCTGTCCAGTAGGTATCATTTTATGTCCTAGAAACCACCCATTGCTTTCCTCTGTTCCTCTTGCCCCTCTATCTGTCCCTGTAGGTATCATTTTATGTCCCTAGAAACCACCTGTTGCTTTCCTCTGTTCCTCTTGCCTCTATCTGTCCTGTAGGTATCATTTTATGTCCTAGAAACCACCCGTTGCTTTCCTCTGTTCATCTGCCCTCTCTATCTGTCCTGTAGGTATCATTTTATGTCTTAGAAACCACCTGTTGCTTTCCTCTGTTATTTGCCCTTCTCTGTCCTGTAGGTATCATTTTATGTCCTAGAAACCCCTGCCTTTTCTCTGTTCCTCTTGCCCTCTCTCTCTCCAGTAGGTATCATTTTATGTCCTAGAAACCACCCGTTGCTTTCCTCTATTCCTCTTGCCCTCTCTCTGTCCCGTAGGTATCATTTTATGTCTTAGAAACCACCCGTTGCTTTCCTCTGTTCCTCTTGCCCTCTATCTGTCCCGTAGGTATCATTTTATGTCCTAGAAACTACCCGTTGCTTTCCTCTGTTCCTCTTGCCCTCTCTCTGTCCAGTAGGTATCATTTTATGTCCTAGAAACCACCCGTTGCTTTCCTCTATTCCTCTTGCCCTCTATCTGTCCCGTAGGTATCATTTTATGTCCTAGAAACCACCCGTTTATTTCCTCTGTTCATCTTGAACTCTATCTGTCCCGTAGGTATCATTCTATGTCCTAGAAACCACCCGTTTGCTTTCCTCTCTGTTTCTCTTTGCCCTCTATCTGTCCTGTAGGTATCATTTTATGTCAGAAACAACCCACGTTCCTTTCCTCTGTTCCCCTTGCCCTCTGTCCCGTAGGTATCATTTTATGTCCTAAAACCACCCCGTTTTCCTTTCCTCTGTTCATCTTGAATCCCTATCTGTCCCGTAGGTATCATTTTATGTCCTAGAAACCACCCATTTGCTTTCCCTGTTCATCCTGCCCTCATCTGTCCCGTAGGTATCATTTTATGTCCTAAACCACCGTTGCTTTCCTGTTGCCCTTTGCCCTCTCTCTGTCCCGTAGTATCATTTTATGTCCTAGAAACCACCCGTTGCTTTCCTCTATTTTCTTGCCCTCTATCTGTCCTGTAGGTATCATTTATGTTCGAACCACCCTGTTGCTTTCCTCTGTTCCACTTGCCTCTCTCTCTGTGCCGTAGGTATCATTTTATGTCCTAGTAACCACCGTTGCTTTCCTCTGTTCCTCTTGCCCTCTATATGTCCCGTAGGTATCATTTTATGTCCTAGAAACTACCCGTTGCTTTCCTCTATTCCTCTTGCACTCTCTCTGTCCCGTAGGTATCATTTTATGTCCTAGAAACCAGCCGTTGCTTTCCTCTGTTCCTCTTGCCCTCTTTATGTCCCGTAGGTATCATTTTATGTCCTAGAAACCACCTGTTGCTTTCCTCTATTCCTCTTGCCCTCTCTCTGTCCCGTAGGTATCATTTTATGTCCTAGAAACCACCCGTTGATTTACTCTGTTTATCTTGAACTCACTCTGTCCCGTAGGTATCATTCTATGTCCTAGAAACCACCCGTTGCTTTCCTCTTGCCCTCTTGCCCTCTACATGTCCAGTAGGTATCATTTTATGTCCTAGAAACCAGCCGTTGCTTTCCTCTGTTCCTTTGCCTCTATTTGTCTCTGTTCCTCTTGACTTTTCCCTGTTATTTGTCCTCTGTCCCGTAGGTATCATTTCATGTCCTAGAAACCACCTGTTCTTTTCCTCTGTTCCTCTTGCCCTCTCTCTGTCCCGTAGGTATCATTTTATGTCCTAGAAACCACCCGTTGCTTTCCTCTATTCCTCTTGCCCTCTCTCTGTCCCGTAGGTATCATTTTATGTTCTAGAAACCACCAGTTGATTTCCTCTGTTTATCTTGAACTCTATCTGTCCCGTAGGTATCATTCTATGTCCTAGAAACCACCCGTTGCTTTCCTCTGTTCCTCTTGCCCTCTATAGTAGGTATCATTTTATGTCCTAGAAACCACCCTGTTGCTTTCCTCTGTTCCTCTTGCCCTCTATCTGTCCTGTAGGTATCATTTTATGTCCTAGAAACCACCTGTTGCTTTCCTCTGTTCCTCTTGCCCCTCTATCTGTCCTGTAGGTATCATTTTATGTCCTACAGAAACCACCTTTGCTTTCCTCTTCCCTCTTGCCCCTCTAAATGTCCAGTAGGTATCATTTTATGTCCTAGAAACCACCCGTTGCTTTCCTCTGTTCCTCTTGCCCTCTATCTGTCCCGTAGGTATCATTTTATGTCTAGAAACCAACCGTTGCTTTCCTCTGTTCTCTTGCCCTCTTATCTGTCCAGTAGGTATCATTTTATGTCCTAGAAACCACCGTTGCTTTCCTCTGTTCCTCTTGCCCTCTCTCATTTGTCCTGTAGGTATCATTTTATGTCCTAGAAACCACCTGTTGCTTCCTCTTTTCCTCTTGCCCTCTATTCTGTCCAGTAGGTATCATTTTATGTCCTAGAAACCACCATTTGCTTTCCTCTGTTCCTCTCTGTTCCTCTTGCCCTCTGTCCAGTAGGTATCATTTTATGTCCTAGAAACCACCCGTTGCTTTCCTCTGTTCCTCTTGCCTCTATCTGTCCCGTAGGTATCATTTATGTCCTAGAAACCATTTGCTTTCCTCTGTTCCTCTTGCCTCTATCTGTCCTGTAGGTATCATTTTATGTCCTAAAACCACCCCGTTGCTTTCTTTCCACTTGCCCCCATCTGTCCTGTAGGTTGTCCTAGTACCCACCGTTGATTTCCTCTGTTTATCTTTGAACTCTATATGTCCTGTAGGTATTATTTTATGTCCTAGAAACCACCCATTGCTTTCCTCTGTTCTCTTGCCCTCTATCTGTCCCGTAGGTATCATTTTTATGTCCTAGAAACCACCCGTTGCTTTCTCTGTTCCTCTTGCCCTCTCTATGTCCTGTAGGTATCATTTTTATGTCCTAAAATCACCAGTTGCTTTCCTCTGTTCCTCTTGCCTCTCTATCTGTCCCTGTAGGTATCATTTTATGTCCTAGAAACCACCTGTTACTTTCCTCTGTTCCTCTTGCCCTATCTGTCCCGTAGGTATCATTTATGTCCTAGAAACCAATCGTTAATTTCCTCTGTTGCTCTTGCCTCTCTCTGTCCCAGTAGGTATCATTTTATGTCCTAGAAACCACCTGTTGCTTTTCCTCTGTTCCTCTTGCCTCATATCTGTCCCGTAGGTATCATTTTATGTCCTAGAAACCACCTGTTTATTTCCTCTGTTCATCTTGCCTCTCTATCTGTCCTGTAGGTATCATTTTATGTCCTAGAAACCACCCCGTTGCTTCCTCTCTCTTCCCCCTCTTGTCTCTATCTGTCCTGTAGGTATCATCTTTTATGTCCTAAAGAAACCACCTGTTGCTTTCCTCTGTTCCTCTTGCCCTCTATCTGTCCTGTAGGTATCATTTTTATGTCCTAGAAACCACCTGTTGCTTTCTCTGTTCCTCTTGCCCTCTCTCTGTCCAGTAGGTATCATTTTTATGTCCTAGAAAACCAGCCGTTGATTTCCTCTGTTCCATCTTGTTCTATCTGTCCTGTAGGTATCATTTTATGTCCTAGAAACCACCTGTTGCTTTCCTCTGTTCCTCTTGCCCTCTCTGTCCAGTAGGTATCATTTTTGTCCTAGAAACCACCTGTTGCTTTCCTCTGTTCCTCTTGCCTCTATCTGTAGGTATCATTTTATGTCCTAGAAACCAACCGTTGCTTTCCTCTGTTCCTCTTGCCCTATCTGTCCGTAGGTATCATTTTATGTCCTAGAAACCACCCGTTGCTTTCCCTTCTGTTCTTTCTCCCCTCTATGTCCTGTAGGTATCATTTTTATGTCCTAGGAAAAACTACCTGTTGCTTTCATCTATTCCTCTTGTCCCTCCTCTCTGTCCTGTAGGTATGATCCTTTATTGTCATGCAGGAAACCATCATGTTGATTTCCTCTGTCCTATTCTTGCCAGTTATGTGTCCTAGGTATCATTCTTTTGTCCCCAAAAACCACCTGTTGCTTTCCTCTGTTGCTCTTGCCTCTATCTGTCCCTGTAGGAAATTTTTATGTTCTAGAAAACCACCCGTTTCCATTTTCCTCTGTTCCTCTTTTTCTCTTATCTGTCCTGTAAGGTATCCATTTCAACATTTCCTTTGTTTATCTAGAAACCATTCCTACTTTGGTCTCATTCTTGCAGAAATTTAATGTTTCCTCTGTTCTTCTATATGTCAGTAGGTATCATTTTATGTCCTAGAAATCATTTGTTTTGCTTTCTCTGTTCCTCTTGCCCTATTACAATGTCCTGTAGGTATTATTTTATGTCCTAGAAACACAACCTATTTACTGTTCTCTGTTCCTCTTTTGTAAATATTCTGTCCTGTAGGTATCATTTTATGTCCTAGAAACCACTCACTGCTTTCCCTCTGTTCCTCTTATATGTGCCGGATGAACTCCTAGATTCTCTGTCCAGTAGGTATCATTTTGCCATGTCCTAGAAACCGTTGCCCCCATTTTGCCCTTTCCTCTGTTCTGTCCTAGAACCAAACTGCTCTCTGTTTATCCTGTAGGTATCATTTTATGTTCTAGAAAGCTGTTCATCTAAAGTTAACAGTTATCTTCCTCTGTTTGAAAATTTTGCACCTTCATCTAAAGTTAACAGGTATCATTTTATGTCCTAGAAACCAGCCGTTGCTTTCCCCTCTATTCCTTTGCCTCTATCTGTCCTGTAGGTATCATTTTTATGTCCTAAAAAACCACCTCTGTTCCTTTCCTCTGTTCATAATCTTGCCTCAGTTATCTGTCCTTCAAAGGTATCAGTTATCTTCCCCTCTTATGTCCTAGAAAACCTTGTCTAAAGTTAACTGTTGATTTCCTCTGTTCATCTTGCCTATCTGTCCTGTATCATTTATCTTTATGTCCTAGAAACCACCTGGCTTTCCTTTTCCTCTTGCCTCAAATCTGTTAGTAGGTATCATTTATGTCATAAAGAAATTGCTTCATCTGTTCCTCTGTTCTCTTCCTGTAGGTATTATTTTGTTCCTCTTGTTGCTTTCTCTGTTCTCTGTCCAGTTATCTGTCCTATTTTATGTCCTAGAAACCACCTGTTGCTTTCCTCTGTTCTTCTTGCTCTTAAAATCTGTCCCCTGTAGGTATCATTTTATGTCCTAGAAACCACCTGTTGCTTTCCTCTATTCCTTAAAAAACACACCTTCTCTTTGTCCCAGTAGGTATCATTTTATGTCCTAGAAACCCAAACGTTGCTTTCCTCTGTTCCTCTTGCTTCTCTATCTGTCCTGTAGGTATCATTTTATGTCCTAAAAAACCACCTGTTGCTTTCCCTCTGTTCATCTTGCCCTCTATCTGTCCCGTAGGTATCATTTTATGTCCTAAAGAAACCACCTGTTGCTTTCCTCTGTTCCTCTTGCCCTCTATATGTCCTGTAGGTATCATTTTATGTCCTAGAAACCACCTGTTTGCTTTCCTCTGTTCTCTTGCCCTTCAAATCTGTCCTGTAGGTATCATTTTATGTCCTAGAAACCACCTGTTGCTTTCTTCTGTTTATTTCTGAACTCTATCTGTCCTGTAGGTATCATTTTTGTCCTTCAAAACCCACCTGTTGCTTCCTCTGTTATTCTTTGCCTATATCTGTCCCTGTAGGTATCATTTTATGTCCTAGAAACCACCTGTTATCTTCCCTCTGTTCCTCTTGCCCTCTATCTGTCCTGTAGGTATATTTTATGTCCTAGAAACCACCTTTGCTTTCCTCTGTTCATCTTGCCCTCTCTCTCTGTCCTGTAGGTATCATTTTATGTCCTAAAAAAACTTTCTCTGTCTAAGTTTGGTCCTTATCTTTCTCTGTTCCTCTTGCCTTTCTCTGTTCTGTCCCTGTAGGTATCATTTTATGTCCTAGAAACCACCTGTTGCTTTCTTCCCCTCTATTCCTCTGCCCTTCTATCTGTAACAGGTAGCATCATTTTATGTCCTAAAAGAAACAAATCCCCGTTGAACTTTCCCTCTGTTCCTCCTGAAACCACCTCTCTCTGTCCCGTAGGTATCTTCATTTTATGTCCCAGAAACCACCGTTGCTTTCCTTCTATTCCTCTTGCCCTCTCTCTGTCCTGTAGGTATCATTTTATGTCCTAGAAACCACCTTCAAATCTAAATTTCCTCTATTTATCTTGAATTCTAAATCTGTCCCAGGTAGGTATCATTTTATGTCCTAGAAACCACCTTGTTGCTTTCCTCTCTTCCCTTCTTGCCTCTCTGTCCCGTAGGTATCATTTTATGTCCTAGAAACCACCCTGTTGATTTCCCTCTGTTTATCTTGGAACTCTCTCTGTCCAGTAGGTATCATTTTATGTCCTAGAAACCACCCCTTCTTATCTGTTCTTGCCTTCATTGTCCCTAGGTATCATTTTATTCCTAAAAACCACCCTTCTTTAGTTAACTGTTATCTTGCCCCTCTCCTGTCCTAAAAGGTATCATTTCAAATCTAAAGTTAACTGTTATCTTTGCCTTTTTATGTCTGTAGGTAACATTTATGTCCTAGAAACCAATACGTTGCTTCCTCTGTTCCTCTTGTCTATTATCTGTCCCTTGTAGGTATCATTTTATGTCCTAAAAACCACTTCCTGTTGTTTTTTCTCTTTATCCTTAAAAGCCATTATCTGTCCTAGGTATCATTTTATGTAAAAGAAACCACCCATTGTTATCTTTCTCTTGTTCCTCTCTTGCCTTCTATCTGTCCTGTAGGTATCATTTTTATGTCCTAAAAACCAGCTGTTGCTTTCCCTCTGTTCCTCTTGCCCTCTCTCTGTCCTGTAGGTATCATTTTATGTCTAGAAACCAGCTGTTGCTTTCCTCTGTTCCTCTTGCCTCTATCTGTCCTTGTAGGTATTATTTTTATGTCATAGAAACCTCTTCCTGTTGCTTTCCTCTCTTCCTCTTTTCTCCTGCCCTTTTGTCTAAATCTAGGTATTATTTTCTATGTCCTAAAAAAGCCACCAGTTAACAGTTCTTTCCTTGTTCTTAAAAAATTCAAATCTAAGTTATAGAACAGATCTTCATTTTCTTATTTTAAAAAATGCCCTTTCTAGAAATCTTCCAATTCTTTTCGGTCCATCCTAAATTTAACGTTATCTTCCCCTCTTATTTTCCTTCAAATCTAAGTTTCAGTTATTTGCTATTTATTCATAAAAAGACCCTTTTTTCTAAAGTTGTATCTCCTTCTTATTCATAAAAATACACCTTCAAATCTGTTAACAGTTATCTTTTCTTCTTCATAAAAATAACTCTAAAGTTAACAGTTATTTTCCCCTCTTGTTCCTAAAAAACTTCAAATCTGTTTCCTTTTATCTTCCCTTCTTATTCCTTAAAATACCCCTTCATCCCTTTCATTTAACGGTTATCTTTTCTTCCTTTCTTTCCCTTCAAACCTAAAGTTGCTGTATTTATTTCCACTCTTATTCATAAAATATATTTGGTTTTAAAAGTTTACAATCTCCTCTTGTTCATAAAAAAGGTATTTAATCTTTAACAGTTGTCTATTTCTTATTTGAACCTTCAAATCTGTTGTCTGAATTTATCTGTTTTTTTTGAGTTATTTTCCCCTCCTATTCATAAAAATCATTTCTCTAAGTTAACAGTTATCTTTCCTCTTATTCAAAAACCACCTTCAAATCTGTCCCAGTTATCTTCATTTTATTTAAAAACCACCTTCAAATCTAAAGTTAACAGTTATCTTCCCTTCTTATTCATAAAAAAACCACCCCTTCAAATCTAAAGTTCCTCAGTTATCTTCCATTATTCATTTTACCCTTCAAATCCAGTTTTCCTCTTATCTTCCCTCTTATTCTAATACACCTTCAAATCTAAAGTTAACAGTTATCTTCCCTCTTATTATAAAAATACACCTTCCTGTTAACAGTTATCTTTCCCTCTTATTCATAAAAATGCACCTTCAAATTAAAGTTAATAGTTATCTTCCTTCTCTTAAAAAAATATCCCTTCAAATCTAAAGTTAACGGTTATCTTCCCCTCTTGTTCATAAAAATGCCCTTCAAATCTAAAATTAACAGTTATCTTCTATTATTCATAAAAAACCCTTCAAATCTAAAGTTAACAGTTATCTTCCCCTCTTATTCATAAAAATACACCTTCAAATCTAAAGTTAACAGTTATCTTCCCCTCTTATTCATAAAAAATACACCTTCAAATCTAAAGTTAGTTATCTTCCCTTCTTATTCATAAAAAAATACCTTCAAATCTAAAGTTAACAGTTATCTTCCCTCTTATTCATAAAAAATACCCTTCAAATCTAAAGTTAACAGATTATCTTCCTCTTATTCATAAAAAATACCCCTTCAAATCTAAAGTTAACAGTTATCTTCCCTCTTATTCATAAAAATGCCCTTCAAATCTAAAGTTAACAGTTATCTTCTGTCTTATTCTTAAAAATACCCCTTCAAATCTAAAGTTAATTTATTATCTTCCCTCTTATTCCATAAAAAACCCTTCAAATCTAAAGTTAACAGTTATCTTCCTCTTATTCATAAAAAATACACCTTCAAATCTAAATCTTTTATCTTCCCTCTTATTCATAAAAATACCTTCAAATCTAAAGTTATGATTATCTTCCCCTCTTATTAAAAAACACAGTTGTCTTCCTCTTTATTTCGCCAAAAATACCCCTTCAAATCTAAAAAAGTTATCTCCCTCTTATTCATTTACACCTTCAAATCTATAGTTTCTTAAAAAATACCCCTTCAAATCTAAAGTTAACAGTTATCTTCCCCTCTTATTCTTAAAAATACACCTTCAAATCTAAAGTTAACAGTTATCTTCCTTCTTATTCATAAAAAATGCCCCTTCAAATCTAAAGTTAACAGTTATCTTCCCTCTTATTCATAAAAATACCCCTTCAAATCTTTAAAGTTATCTTCCACTCTTATTATAAAAATGCCCCTTCAAATCTAATGTTAACAGTTATCTTTCCTCTTGTTCAAAAAAATACCCCTTCAAATCTAAACAGTTATCTTTCCTCTATTCATAAAAAAACACCTTCAAATCTAAAGTTAACAGTTATCTTCCCTCTTATTCATAAAAAATATCTTCCCCTCTTACCTTCAAATCTAAAGTTAACAGTTATCTTCCTTTTATTCAAAAAAATATACCATTTCAAATCTAAAGGTTAACAGTTATCTCCCTTTTATTCATAAAATACCCTTCAAATCTAAATAGGTTATCTTCCCTCTTATTCTAAAAACCCCCTTCAAATCTAAAGTTAACAGTTATCTTCCCCTCTTATTCATAAAAAATACACCTTCAAATCTAAAGTTAACAGTTATCTTCCCTCTTATTCATAAAAAATACCCCTTCAAATCTAAAGTTAACAGTTATCTTCCTCTTATTCATAAAAAATACCTTCAAATCTAAAGTTAACAGTTATCTTCCTTCTTATTCATAAAAAATACCCTTCAAATCTAAAGTTAACAGTTATCTTCCCTTCTTATTCATAAAATGCCCTTCAAATCTAAAGTTAACGTTATTTTCCTCTTATTCATAAAAATACCCCTTCAAATCTAAAGTAGGTAGTTATCTTCCTCTTATTCATAAAAATACCCCTTCAAATCTAAAGTTAACAGTTATCTTCCCTCTTATTCATAAAAAAATACACCTTCAAATCTAAAGTTAACAGTTATCTTCCCCTCTTATTCATAAAAAATACACCTTCAAATCTAAAGTTAACAGTTATCTTCCCTTCTTATTCATAAAAATACACCTTCAAATCTAAAGTTGATTATCTTCCCTCTTATTCATAAAAAATACTTCAAATCTAAAGTTAACAGTTATCTTCCCTTATTCATAAAAAATACCTTCAAATCTAAAGTTAACTGTTATCTTCCTTTATTCATAAAAAATACCTTCAAATCTAAAGTTAACAGTTATCTTCCCTCTTATTCATAAAAATACCCCTTCAAATCTAAAGTTAACAGTTATCTTCCTCTTATTCATAAAAAATACCCTTCAAATCTAAAGTTAACAGTTATCTTCCTCTTATTCATAAAAAATACACCTTCAAATCTAAAAGTTAACAGTTATCTTCCTCTTTTATTCATAAAAATACACCTTCAAATCTAAAGTTAACAGTTATCTTCCCCTCTTATTCATAAAAAAATACCTTCAAATCTAAAGTTAACAGTTATCTTCCTTCTTATTCATAAAAAATACACCTTCAAATCTAAAGTTAACAGTTATCTTCCCTCTTATTCATAAAAAATACCCCTTCAAATCTAAAGTTAACAGTTATCTTCCCTTCTTATTCATAAAAATACCCCTTCAAATCTAAAGTTAACAGTTATCTTCCTCTTATTCATAAAAAACACCTTCAAATCTAAAGTTAACAGTTATCTTCCCTCTTATTCATAAAAATACCCCTTCAAATCTAAAGTTAACAGTTATCTTCCTCTTATTCATAAAAATACCCTTCAAATCTAAAGTTAACAGTTATCTCCCCTCTTATTCATAAAAATACACCTTCAAATCTAAAGTTAATAGTTATCTTCCCTTCTTCTTAAAAATACCCTTCAAATCTAAGTTATTGTTATCTTCCTCTTATTCATAAAATACACCTTCAAATCTAAAGTTAACAGTTATCTTCCTTCTTATTCATAAAAAAATATACCTTCAAATCTAAAGTTAACAGTTATCTTCCCCTCTTATTCATAAAAAAATACACCTTCAAATCTAAAGTTAACAGTTATCTTCCCCTCTTATTCATAAAAAATACACCTTCAAATCTAAAGTTAACAGTTATCTTCCCTTCTTATTCTAAAAAATACACCTTCAAATCTAAAAGTTAACAGTTATCTTCCTTCTTATTCATAAAAAATACACCTTCAAATCTAAAGTTAACAGTTATCTTCTCTTCATTCATAAAAATACCCTTCAAATCTAAAGTTAACAGTTATCTTCCTTCTTATTCATAAATAACACCTTCAAATCTAAAGTTAACAGTTATCTTCCCTTCTTATTCATAAAAATACACCTTCAAATCTAAAGTTTACAGTTATCTTCCTCTTATTCATAAAAAACCCCTTCAAATCTAAAGTTAACAGTTATCTTCCCTTCTTATTCATAAAAAATACACCTTCAAATCTAAAATTAACAGTTATCTTCCCCTCTTATTCATAAAAAATACCCCTTCAAATCTAAAGTTAACAGTTATCTTCCCCTCTTATTCATAAAAAATACCCCTTCAAATCTAAAGTTAACAGTTATCTTCCCCTCTTATTCATAAAAAAATACACCTTCAAATCTAAAGTTAACAGTTATCTTCCCTCTTATTCATAAAAAATACACCTTCAAATCTAAAGTTAACAGTTATCTTCCCTTCTTATTCATAAAATACCCCTTCAAATCTAAAGTTAACAGTTATCTTCCTCTTATTCATAAAAATACACCTTCAAATCTAAAGTTAACAGTTATCTTCCCTCTTATTCATAAAAAATGCCCCTTCAAATCTAAAGTTAACAGTTATCTTCCCCTCTTATTCATAAAAAATACTTCCTTCAAATCTAAAGTTAATCTAAAGTTATCTTCCCTTCTTATTCATAAAAAATACACCTTCAAATCTAAAGTTAACAGTTATCTTCCCCTTATTCATAAAAAATACCCTTCAAATCTAAAGTTAACAGTTATCTTCCCTCTTATTAAATAAAAAATAACTTATTCAAATCTAAAGTTAACAGTTACAGTTCCCCTCTTATTCATAAAAAAACACCCTTCAAATCTAAAGTTAATAGTTATCTTCCCTCTTATTCATAAAAAATACACCTTCAAATCTAAAGTTAACAGTTATCTTCCCTCTTATTCATAAAAATATACCTTCAAATCTAAAGTTAACAGTTATCTTCCCTTCTTATTCATAAAAATACCCTTCAAATCTAAAAGTTAACAGTTATCTTCCCTCTTATTCATAAAAATACACCTTCAAATCTAAAAGTTAACAGTTATCTTCCTCTTATTCATAAAAAATACACCTTCAAATCTAAAGTTAATAGTTATCTTCCTTCTTATTCAAAAAATACCCTTCAAATCTAAAGTTAACAGTTATCTTCCCCTCTTATTCATAAAAATACCCCTTCAAATCTAAAGTTAACAGTTATCTTCCCCTCTTATTCATAAAAAATACCTTCAAATCTAAAGTTAACAGTTATCTTCCCCTCTTATTCATAAAAATACACCTTCAAATCTAAAGTTAACAGTTATCTTCCTTCTTATTCATAAAAAATACACCTTCAAATCTAAAGTTAACAGTTATCTTCCTCTTATTCACTTAAAAAATACCCTTCAAATCTAAAGTTAATAGTTATCTTCCTTCTTATTCATAAAAAATACCCCTTCAAATCTAAAGTTAACAGTTATCTTCCCCCTCTTAT